TGTAGCATATGCTGGCCTGTACAGGGAGAGGTGAATCTCCAGAAGAGGACGGTGGCTTGGCGAGGGTCCAACGGTTTCCTCCCTCCTTTCTCCCCCTCCCCCCCCTCTCCCTCACCTCCGCCTCCATCGCCGCCATTTGAGAAGGCCACTGCCACAGGCACCAGCCGGCAGTTAGCTTAAGCAGGAAGGACCAGAGCGGAAGCAAAGGGGAGGAGGGAAGGGAGGGAGGAGAGGAGGGCGGAGAAGGCAGCGAAGGGGCTACAGACAGGACCAGGAGGAGCAAAGGAACGACGCTGAAGGCGTAATGAAAGAGGAGAAGGAAGGGGCCGTGGCGTCTGTGCCGCCGAGTGAGATGTAGAGAGAGTGGTCGTGAAATGGGGGGAATGGGGGGGGAAGGTAGAGGTGCGGGGGCCGATGCGCAAGCACAGCCGACCTTTAGGCAGACATACAAGATCCTAAATGTACCGCCAAACAGGTGTGAAGAAGCACGGCCCATATGCGATATTCAGGGTGTCTCTTACCTTCGCCGCCGCCCCTGCATCCATCCCCACGCATGCTCCAGGCCGGACCAGAGCGCGAGGCACAGAGGGATCCCCGCGAGGAGAAAAGGGGAGAAAAAAAGACGAGAAGGCCAGGAGGCGGCCTCGGTCAGGATGTAGAGTATCTGATGATGCAGATCGGTGCCGATGCGGAGGCAGGTGTGGGTGAAGGCCCGTTGCCCGAGGGGATGTGCCGTGGGGAGGAGGTGTGGGAGGGTAGCAGGGAGGGATGAAGGAGCTGCCAAAAGAAGGGACTGACGCGAACGAGCCACGTGCATGACTCGGAAAGGAAGAAGATAAGTACGTGGCAAGGGACAAAAGGCCATGCGTGACGTCGAAACCAAGGGACTTGGATGACACGCGCGGAGGGCGGAAAATTCCACTTGGCGGACCATGAATGCTAGCTTTTACGGGTCTTGTATGCGAAGTGCTAGGCGCTCGTCTGCTCAATTGGCCTGCCGCTCGTCGTCGCACATCTTTGTTGAAAACTCCTCAAAATGCTTATCAGCTTTTCCAATCCTTCAAAATATGATCCCTATCTCATGAACAGAAAGGAAGGAAAAGCGAAGCCCCATCCTCCCGCTGCGGCCAGGCAGAAGCGAAGGAATCGAGCGTGATGATGCGAGCCCCTCTGCCGGAAAACACGCCGCCAAAACGCCTGTATTACCCCTGGCGCGTGGAATGAAAAAAGAAAAACATTTGCTGCATGAATTCATGCGAGGCATCGACCATAAGAAATGCTCTCAGTGGCTCGACGTATGGTATGCTCCTGGGAACAAGCGAAAAGCGAGTCGTCGCTGCAGGCGGTATCTTGCCTTAAAAAATAGGTCATTTTTCGAATGAACAACGCGCACCCACACTCGCATTACAAGCAGGGATACATTGGATCGCGTTCATCCTTGTCATATAAAAATAGAAGCAGAATGATTTCTTCCATTACATGGGTAAGTCTTGACTGCACTTTTCACCTCTTGCAAGTCAAGGCAATTCTCACCACCCCTCTTGTCTACCATCCTTTTGTCCTCTTTCAAAAGGTGCCTCGGGGCGCCGCGAACCCCAATCCCCCTCGTTTCCAAGCGTGCAAAGAAGAAGTCGAGTGAGTGAATGGTTGGAACAATATACGCTACGCAAAAAGAGAAGGGGAAAACACGGCAAGCAGGAATGGTGGTGAAGGGGGGAGGTTAGAGGTCGGTGTTTTTATGATCTCCTCTATACACAGGGCCCTACTTCGTGAGCATGGAGGTGGTAATAACGAGCTCGAAAGACAAGATTTCGAAGAGGAGGATGAAGAAGAAGGGCAAAATGGCGAGTTGGACCGGCATGGTTTGCCTGTTGAGCTTCATATGGACGATTACGATGACGAGGATGAAGCCGCGGGAGGGGCGCAGAAGGCCGCTTTCATCCACGCAGACGCCAGTGAGGAGGAAGAAGGCGTTGAGAATGGGGAGGATGAGGAGGATGAGGATGAGGAGGAAGTGGGTATAATGGAGGAGGAAGAGGAGGAGGAGGAGGGAGAGGAGGAAGACGAAGGGGAGGAAGGGGAGGAAGTAGAGGAAGAGGAAGAGGAAAGTGGAAGAGGAAAGGAGGATCAGCAGAGAAATGAGCTCGCAGGAGCCTTGCCAGCAAGTGCGTTTCTGCGAGGTATGGATGATAATGACGAGGAAGACGACGACAGCGAGGACATGGAGGACCACATGATTAAGTCGACAGACGCGGTCGTTCTGGTGGCGAATACCGAGGGTAGGGCAGCAAAGAGGGGGCAAAGGGGGGGATGAAGGAGAAGATGATATCTTAGATATGTTCTTGTGCTGAACCGAAGGATGTACGGCGCGAGCCATGGAATAGGCGAGGCGCGATCTCGTCGAGGACGATGCCGGATAAGGCAGCGCACGCTTTGCCTCACTTGCCTTCCCTCCCCCTCTCTCCCCGCCCCATCCTCCTTGCCTTCCCCTCTTTCCTGGACGACAAGACGAGGAGCACTCGGCCCTGGAGGTCCATGTCTATGAGGAGGACACGGGCTCGCTCTACATCCACCACGATATCTCCCTCCCCGCCTTCCCCCTCTGTGTAGCCTGGGGCCACTGCCCGCCCGTGCCGGGACGGGAGGTAAGGAAGTGCGAGGGATGAGGTGCAAAGAGGCGAAATAAAGGATGTCAGCCATGACAGGATTCGTGGGCTCTCTTATTAATCTTTCCTCCCCACACCGCATGACGACTTTTGGTGCCCCACAGAGCGAGCGCGGCTCCTTTGCGGCCGTGGGGACGTTCAAACCGGGGATTGAGATATGGGACGTGGACATCATTGATCCGCTTGAGCCAGTCCGCATACTGGGCGGTGAAAAGGCGCTGCAGGGGTAGGGGTGGAGGGGTCGAGAGGGAGGGGAGGAGAAAGGCAGGGAGTGAGAGGGTTGTGCTACCTTGCCCCTACCCCTCACATTGGTCTGTGATCTCCCTTCCCATTTCTCTTCCTGCCTATCCTCTCCAGCACCGCCTCTTCGTGGAGCAAAGCCGGCAAGAAGGGCGGGAAGAAAAAGAAGAAACGGCGCCAAAATGAAGACGAACTCGTGGAGGGCAGTCATGAGGGCCCCGTCATGACGCTCGCTTGGAACCAATTCCACAGACAGGTCGGTGTCCCTCTATCCCTCCCTCCCTCCCTCCCATCCTCGTGCCTCGATTCCTGATGTCGTCGTCGGGCGAACTCTCCTTGCGCACCCTCCCCTTACCCCCTTCTTCTGTCGCACGACATTGCCTAAGGAAAATTGAGTACCAGCGGGATACCTCACGCTTTTCCCCTGCCCTCCATCTCTTCCTCTCCCCCTTCCTTGCCCTTCAGGTCCTGGCCTCCGGCTCGGCCGACAGCACTATTAAGCTCTGGGACGTGACGACGGGCGAGTGCTCCGCCACGCTCGCGCACCACACCGACAAGGTTTCCTCTCTGAGCTGGCACCCTGTGGAAGGTAGGGTCCCTTCCCACCCCTCTGTCCTGCCTGTCGCACGCGCCGCGCCCATACCTATTCGCTGCCACCCTCCCACTGTCGTGTCCTTCACTCCTTTCCCCGTGCTTCCGCCAGGCACTGTCCTCGCATCCGCCGGCTTTGATCGGGGTATCTACGTCCTGGACGCGCGGGGCGGGAGCGCGAGCAGCCACGTTCAAATGCAGGGGGCGGGAGGGAAGGTAGGGAACGAGGGCGGAGGAGGCTTCCCCCAAACAAACATGCCTCCAGGCATATTCCTCGCTTCCAAGTCTCATTCCTCCTCTCCTGGGCTGCAGGCTGACCCCGAGTGCGTGGGCTGGTGTCCTCATGCTCCCTCCACCCTCCTGTGTACCACCGAAGACGGCAGCCTGGTCGCCTGGGACGTCAGGTAGGATGCCAGCCTGTGTACACAAGAAGCCAGCTTCTCTGCGAGGCTTCCTTCCTCTCGGGCTGTTCTGTCTCTGTTGTGGTCTGGGAACGAGGACGGCAAAGTGGGGGGGAGGCAAGCTGCCTCCAGTATCTGATCCTTTCCTCGATCGAATTTCTCGCAGGGCTCCCTCGGGCCCCCTGTGGAAAGCCAAGGTGCACACGAAGACTTGCTCCTCCTTCTCTTTCTCCGCCCTCGCCCCGGGCCTGATGGCCACGTGCGGCATGGACAAGACGGTCAAGCTCTGGGTGAGTAGGTGCCCGGTCTCTTCTTCCTTGCCCCGGCGTTCTGGGGCCAGCCCACCTCTTGCCGTCCCTCTCCTCTCCTTCCCGTCTCTTCCAATGCCTCTCTCTCTGACGGTCGAACCACCCCATTTCCGTAGGATTATTCGGGCGATCCCGGCGTCCCCCCGCGACAGCTGGGAGAGAAAGCGATGTCCGTCGGGAAACTCTTCTCCATCTCCTTCTATCCCAGGTGGGTACACTGCGGCCGGCGCTTACATCTCTTCAAAGTCTTTTGTCCTTTTTCTTGTCTGATACATGTAGTCTTTTCGGGTACTGGATGGGTCTTGTGGGCTTTCCAACCGGCCTTCCATCTTGTATCTCGGCACCACCTCCAGCTCGCCCTTCCTGTTGGCCACGGGGGGAGACAAGGGGCTGCTGGCTTTGTGGAATCTGCACGAATGCGAGGGCGTGATGCGACGTTTCGGGGAAGGAGGAGGGAAAGGCGAGAAGGAGGGTATGCAGGCGGCGAGCATGATGGAGGGGATGAGCCTGGAGGGGACTGGGGACGGAGAGAAGGAGAGGGGGGAGCAGAAGGACAAAAAGAAGGACAAGGGCGGTAAGGGGAAAGCACCGAGTGGAAAAGCAAGATCACAGACAGGAACGAGTGGAAAAGGAAGCCGAAAGAAGTAGAGAAGATGCAGAGACACTTGTCTGTTGTGACGCATGAGGGCGGGGCGAAGGCCTAGGAGGGGGAAGTAACCTCACGTGCTTGGGGAGAGGACTGGGTGGTGCCCACAAAGAATAACGACACAGATGAAATGCGTCTTTCGTTTGAGGCATTGTGAGTTGGTCTGGGCGCAAACAGGTATTTAATGTGTGCGAGACGAGAGCAACAGGTGATGATGGTCAGCCCGACACTGGTGATGATATCATCTTTCATTTCAACCGAGACTAGGAGCGGCCATTCATATGCGTAACTGAACTGATAATGATAAAATACTCCACAGGATACTATGCTTGTAGCATATGCTGGCCTGTACTGTCGGACTCGAGTTTGCTTTTTATTAATAAAGATGACATTGAAATGAAGGGGGAGGAGGTTAACGAAACTTGCTTTTACCGATCGAGGTGGTGGATAGGTCACATCACACATTCCAATCCCTCACACGGACATTGACGAAGTGTTTACTTCAGTCCAATCGCTCTCTGGTTTTCAAAAGATGATGGGCCGGCTACGTCGTGCGTAATAATGACTGTGTTTTCCGCGATATCTCTGAAGGAGCTTCGGCTGCATGTTCCTGCCAGCAACAGAAACGGCGCCAGGAGCGTTGTGCAAACGATAAAATTTCTATTCGCTCATTCTTATACCTCTCTAAACATAGTGACGCAAGCACCTGCATTACATCTGCTATGCAATCCGACCCACAGCAAATTCAGGGTACGCCTTCGTTGGCTGCCTCTACAGCAGTGCCTCCCCCCTCGCTGCAACCCCTTACGCAACAAATGCGAAACTACCTTGCTCAGCAAGACTACATAAATGCCCTTCGCGTCGCAAATGACGTTGAAATATTGCTTCTGGTAAAAGAATGAGGAAGGAAAAGCTACACCAATCGAACGACACTCAACCCTGATTTCGCTTGTAGACTCAGCTGACTTTGCCCGGCCACCACCTTCACATCTCACAGACAAACAAACTATGCCCTGGTGACGGAAATCCTCAACTCCTGCTTGCTGTTCAGCTGCTTTTACACCTTATCCTGGACGATCTGTACGTTATTTTCCTCTTTGTCTCCACCTCGAGCCCATCCCTAAAGCCACAGCTCTCCCTCCTTCCTCCTCCCACTGCTTCTTAGGGCCAACGCCCGGCTTTTATGGCGGCGCATCCCCAACGAGCTGAAGAACGTGTCAACCCTTGAGGGGAGACAACTGTCAAAGGCGTGGGACGTGGGAAAGTCGTTGTGGGCGCGGTAAGCGACACCGGGCCTGAAAGTGACAGGCAGACATCGAAGTTTCCGTAGACACGTTACGACGCCTAGCTGGAACCTTATCGCCACGCATCTCACATTTCCATTTCCTTGTTCTCCAGAGAGATCCCTGCTGCTCATGTCGCCATACGGGACGTACAATGGACGCCGGAGCTCGTGCCTTTGGTGGATGCGTTACGTGGTGCGTCGAGAGGAATGCTGCCTTCGAGGGCGGGGGGGACGATCCTGATGACCATGAGAATGATGGGTGATAACGGCGACGTTTACGATGAAATTGAGGGAGGGAGGAAATACGGAAGGACGGTGGGAAAGAGCGTTTGGGCTGAGTCCCAAAGATGAGCTTGTTGACAACGGTGGACGGAATGGCGGGACTTTCGACACGATACTGGCATGGTAGCCTTCCTGTGGACCGTCGCATCTCATTATCACTTTTTACTGCTACTTATCCCTTCCGGGCTGCCTTCTTCCCTTGCTGTGCGGGTTCCCCGATTCTTTTTCCGGCAGAGCGCATCCTTCGGGACGAGTTTGCCCTCTTGAGTCGTGCTTTTCGACGCTTGAGGATCTCGTCCATGGCAAAGAAGCTGGGCGTGACTGAATCGGAAGCTGTCGCAGGTAACCTTCCCCCACACTACCCTTTTCTCGTTTCCTTTCTTGTTTGGCACACTAGACCTATCATCAAACCCGCGCTCCCTTCCCTTCCCGTGACCTCTCTCCCTTCCTCGTATCCTTTGCGTCAAGCGGCGAGGCAGGCAGGATGGAAAGTGGAGGAGGGCAAGGGGGAAGTGGAACCCTCACCTTCGCTACCCTCGTCAGGCGAATCCATCGGTAAAGACAGGAAGGGGCTCCCTTTTCTTGGGGGGGGGATGGCCCTGCTTAGAGAGGATAACGATGCCCGTTATGTCATTTTCAGGAAGCCTTATCTCATGTTTCCTCCCATTATCTCACTTTTTCTTACTCCCCACAGGTTTGCCCGAGCTGGAGCAACTTACGAAGTATATCTCTTTCTTAGAGGCAGAGAGTGTCACCTCCTCTGTGGCCTGAGGGTAGGATTAGAGGCATGAGAAGAGGGGACCAGAGAGGGGCGGAGGCAGGGCATGCAAATGTACAAAAAGAAAGGGAAAGAAACGCTTCTGACCCAGACAGGCGCTCTAGCTACATCCTCAATCGTTACTCTTGATTCTCATTTTATAGTCAATCTCTTTCCTTCCGTGCGCTGGAAGTCTTCGTTCACAACTTGACTAATTGCAAGAAGCCCTGCATAGGCCTGTCCCAAGCCACCTCCCGCCCTGCTTCCTCGCAAAACTCTTCCTCTTCCACATCCACCTTGACGCTCAGCACCCCCCCAGGGGGTAAAGACACATATTGACACAGCGATAGGAATGGGACGACGTCTCCGTACGGGGTTAAAGAGACTTCGATGGGAAGGGGGGGGGTGGCTGACTGTGACGGGCGCTTATCGTGAAGAGGAGACTTTCATTCAAGTAGACCTGTAAGAGGGGTACCTGAGCCAAAGTATACCGTGCAATCGAAGTCAGAGACAAAGGTACACGGGGTGCACGACGAGAAGCATCTTCGGCAAGCTTAGAGCTCGTCCTTCCTCGCCCATGCTTCTGGTATTCCTTACCGTTCGCGATGTGAAGAGGCCGACGACCAGATGGTAGAGCCCGCCCAGTGGCACACCCACCCCGCTCTCTCTTGGCTTCCACAGGAAGGGCTGCGCCTCGAAGGAGCCCACTTTCGCCTTCAGGGAGAGAGGGAAGCTAGGATTCGTGGCTTGCTTCTATGGAGATGGTGGAGATATAGAAGGGGGGAGACAGAGGCCAGTTGGGTGACATTTTCAAACACAAATTTGCATCGACATGCGCTGCACTTCCATGGATGATGAGTCCGTCCCATCCCTTTATTAAGTTATCACCTCACACTAATTTTCCCAAAGTTCCGATTCTCCTTTCCTCCTTCCCTCCGAATCTCACCTCCCACAGGACCCAGCCTCCACGTCGCGTCACCATCCTCCGTGCCCCGCTTTTCCAAAGCCAGCGTCCCGCCAATCGTGACGGGGCATCCAACGGAAGCTTTACGTACTCTTCGTCGTTCTGAGAACTCCTCTTATCCGCCGCCATCTCCGTATTCATCTTTCTTCCCTCCATTTTTTCCACGGTCAGTGTATGAAGGTCATGCGTCAGCCGTGCGACTTCTCTCTTCAAAAGGAGAAGTTCCTCTCGTTCTTTTCCCCTTTCCATGTCCCGAGCATGCTGAAATAATCGAAGATTGCGGAGAAAGTAAAGAGATCATGTCATGGTGGTGAGATAAAAGTACGCTATTGGAAAAGAAGGTGCTTCTTTTACCTGCATTGTCTCCATCAAATTCAAGCCACAGACATTCATGCACATTTGTCGCCTTGTCCTTCCTCTCTCTGAAACTCCCACCTTGATGGATGCCACAGCAGAGGCCGAGGCTAGATCCCGAGCGAAGGCAACTTCTTCCAGCCGCCTTCGCAGCCTGTTGGACAAGGAGCGCGTTGGGATGGAGAATCTGTGAGCACTTGGATAGCGGAGAGTTAGAGCGCCTATCTTCCCTGCACCTGCCACTCTCTTTCGGTCTTACTCGTCCACTTCTTCTCTTCCTGCCTTGTGAGACAGGGCATCCAATAGCTGGGCCTCCCTGTCCATTCGCCTGTGAGCCTCCTGAGGGATGCGATGAGCGGAGCGATGGTTCGCTTGTCATTGAGTATGCCTGAAAGCCTCTGGCTTCCCTGAGCCTGTATACCCCCATTGGTTGCATCCCTTTTCTTGAAAACTTCGAACTTTTCGTCCTTACATGAGCCTTACCTGTGAAGCGGGTGGAGTCATGTGTCCTGCCCCCTCAACACGCGTCATCGGGGCAGTCCCGCCTTCGTTTGGGGAGGCCTAGAGACGATGGGGAAGGGGAGTCAAGGACGCGGAGGAAGGAAAGGAGGGGATTGGGGTGAAGATTGACGCCTTTGTCGACGAGACCCTCGCTGCTACCCGAGGGTGAGAGTCCAGCCTCACTCGGCCACGGCCCAAAAAGGATCAAGCAATATTGATGAAAGTCATTCCAACGGGCCTACCTCCGGCTCTCGCATCCCTTCAGGTAATACGGCAGCCGTCTCTTTCTCAACCCCATTTCTTTCGAAAGAAGCTCCTGCTTGTGCCTCTTCGTCCGCCCGGTCCACAACACGTGCGGGCTCTTGCTGCAAGACCGACAGGGCATGCTCCATGTCCGCTTGATGGGCCTCCAGGCTTTGTGTCTGGTAGAGGGAAAAATAAGAACGAACAGATTTCTATGAGTGAAGGGACGCTGGACCCGTGTGCTCGCAGACACAAGGGCGATTGGAGAGGCCGGTCGTGTCGAGTACCTTGACATGTACAGCGTGCCATACGCCCGCCTCCTCGCCCACTTGCCTTCGAAGCTGTCCATCGAAGAGGTGCAAGTGAGTATCGTGCCTTTTCTTTCCCTAGAATACCCGAATCCCTCTCACCTCCCGAAGTCCCCTCTCCGCAGCCGTCTCATTCTCTTTCATCCGGGTACGCAGGGCCGCCATACCCACGAGTGCGTCGCCATTCTGCAGGTATTAGAAAATACACGATACGCGTGGAGCGTTCGCAAACTACTGGCTAAGATTAATTTAAAAGACGCGTGGCCTATTCTTTCCCTCCTGCCCTCTGTTCGCGCTCGTAACCTGGTTTTGAGCCTCTTGCACCGCCTGCGTCATTGCGGCAACCTTCCTCTCTAATTCCGGCACAATATTCGATACTTCCTTTCTCTGTGCATTGAAGGAACGGGTCATTAAACAATGATTTTTATACTAGTATTTAAAGCAACAGTCATATTATCATCGCTCCATGAGAACGCACGGGGCTCTGGAGTCTGGCACCGGATGTTGTGATGTTGTCCTCGATCCCTCACCTTATCCACCTCACCTGAATATCTATTAGCTGCCTCTGAAGAGCAATTATCTCGTCATGCTGCTCTTGCAAAGCACGGGCGCAAAAAAAAAGCGCGTCTTTCACTGTGTCCTAGAGAAGTATGAAGATAAAAGCTTAGACGTAGAACAAACGTACCGGTCGCAGCGCCCGAAAAGTCTCACGAATTGACAGGATTGTCAGTTGACTTGTCTTTCTGACCTGCACATTCGCCCAGTCCTTATGTTGGAGGAAACCATCGAGGTGACGTGTGTACGGAAATGGCATCAATGAGGCCGCAGGTACGGGGGGGGAATGTGGTAGGTAGTCGAATGCAGGCTTCATTTGACGAGGCGAAGGATAATATTGGTGCGTAGAGGAATACAAAGAAGGGGCTGATGCCGTCGAAAAATCCATTTATCCACACCTGTCAGGATGAGGCCGTGTGTCAGTTGAGGAGAGCCGAGCATGTGGGGCTATCATTGTTGACGTTGTAGTGCATCTCTTGCTTCATCGGCTGAGTTTCACTTATCGGTTTAAGCGATAGACAGGCGATATACGACGATCGCGAGAGTGAGCTGACTCCTACTCCCCCCAAAGCGTATATAAGCGGGCACGACCAACGACTGTCGTCATGTGGCAGATCTCATGGACATACACTTGCCCTATTTTCTCCCGCACATGCATAGGTTGTACGACTCATCATTTTTGCAAAGTCTTTGGAGCGGTCTTGTCCCACGGCGCTAGCCTCGCCGCGGCTTCGACATGCTACCTCTTATACAGCGGATGGGGCCCTTCCTTCCCACAATTACCAAGGACATGTGTAAGGTCTCACTGAGAAGCACGAGGGAGATCCATGCCATCGCTATTACCGGGGCTATGGTCACCCGGAGAAGGACAAGACCACAACCTTCGCTACCTCCTCTTCCCTTTGCAGTGAGTGGGGCTAGCTGCAGAGGTGCTATGGCGACATTACCCGCAGGGCGGGCTGCTTCCACGAACGCCAGCGGCAGTGAAGACAACACTTCGACTATAATTCCGCCCAAGAAGGGGTAAGAACGTTGTAGGGGGAAAAAAAGGGCGGCAGTAAGACTCATCTGTATCAGGCAGACAGTGTGGTCCCTTCCCCTATTCAGCAACTCCATTTCACCTTTTCAACGACTATTCAGAGACCTAGTTGTTAATAAAGCCATTCAAGCGGGTACCGTACGTTTGGTTGTAAAGAATGATGCGGGCGGACCCGCCTCCTCGAGCATCCTCTCACGTGACGAGGCGTTGGCCAAGGCTCAGGCGGCGGGCTTGGACTTGGTGTTGGGTAAGGGGCGAAGAGGGGTGGAAAAGAGAAAAATCGCCCACATATCAAATCATGGGTGGAGAATAGTGCAGACGTCATGTGGAAAGCACGCTGAGGATCTGTCTTTTTTTTCATATTTCCCTTTCTTCTTTCAATCGTCTAGTAACAGCCGCCTCCGACCCCTGGGTGTGCAAACTTGCCGACGCAAAGCGAGAAAAGTATCAACGAGTGAAAAAAGAGAAGAAAACGAAAAACGTTGGCAGCGTCCTGAAGGAAATCAGCATTCGGGTAAAACGAGATAAATTGGAGGGAAATGGAAGAGGGGGGGGAAGTAATTAAGAGGAAGGGAGGGAGCTGAAGCAGGGACACGGCGCAGAGAAGAAAGAGGTGGCAAATAACAAGGGTCCACGTTGGCCCCCCTCTTCTTTATTTCGTTCACAGGGCAATATATCCGACCACGACCTTTTGATCAAGCTGCGTCGGGTGATGGGATTCTTCGAGCACGGCTACTCTGTCCGCATCATAATCGTACCAACAGGCCACCAGGTACCTATCTCTCTTGTCCTTCATCCATGTACCTTTAGGGTATTTATGTCTGCAAGAGGGTTTGCGTCCTCATTTGATGTGCGATGCAGAGTCATCTCCACGTTTGGCATGCCCTGCACTTGACAGTTGTCTCTCCGTCCGGGCCGGCTACAAGAGATTTACGATTTCATCCTGAAAGACTACTTAGTGGATAAGTATAAGGTAAGTAATTGAGTCAGTAGGCATGTAAGGGTAAGGGGATCCAAGTGTTGTGTGAGGAAGAAAGACTGGAAAGCAGGACTTCAAAACCGGAAATGTTTCTGTCTTCACAGATATCGAGGTGCATATTGCGCTCTCATCATGTTGCCTCACACATGTTCCCTTCATGCAGAGCTTCGTGGAGATTAAGCCTTCTCCTGGGTCGCTAAGGAGGGAGATGATTGTCCACCCGAAGCGTAATGCCAGCGGAGGAGGCGGAGGGGGTGGAGGTGCGAGCAAAGGGGCACAAAAAAGGACGGGAAATCAAAAAAGAGACCGCAAGGTTGAAATAAACAAGGAAAGTAGGCGTGAAAATGAAAATGGCGCGAAAGATTAAAATTCTATGCGAAAGTGAGGAGGAAAAGAAGCATGATCTTTTGCTGCAATAACAACAACCGTCTCGGAATCTGGATGGAACTCGTAAACCACGCTATACTACCTGTCACCTACGTTGCTTCCGCAAAACTGAATGAACTGCTTCACGTTTTCGTTCCAAGCTACAAGGAGGCCCTGACCCCTCCCTAAACCCTGAAAACCCACTTTGTCGTCAATAGAATACTGTTCTCTGCAGCTCGCAGTGCCCTATAGAGAAGCTAAAGCTTGTCGTCCTTAGGCTCCTGTCCTCGGGTCCGTTTTTCCTCCCAGGCCGCACGCGCCATTTCTTTCAGCGAAGCCGCAGAGTCCGGACCCGTCTCCATCACCATCGACAGGAAGCCACCCTTGGACTCCGGCAGACCTGTGAAACAAAGAAGCACGTGAGGGATGGATAGATCACCGGAACACTCTTTCCCACCTCCCACATTCCAAATGTCCTTGATTCATATTGGTTGCCTTCCTATTTACCCACCTTTTGGCGTGTTCAAGAGCTCGTGCGGATGCCCCATCTCCAGCACCTCACCGGCCTGCAGCACCAGAAGGATATCAGAGTCGATGATGGTGTTCAACCTGAATTGTCAAATATCATGCTGGTGGGGTGAGTGAGGATGCTCTTCAGCCTACTGCTTTCCTTTACCCTTCCTATTTACCTATGCGCGACCATGAGAACTGTAGCTGAGCCAAAACGCGAGCGAATCGCTCTTTGGATCTGTCAGGGGTGCAAAGGAAAGTAGCATTTAACACAAAGTTATCCTTTAGCTTCTTTGCAGCTCAATTAGACACTTCCTACCTTGTGATCCGTCTCCACGTCCACATTGGCAGTGGCCTCGTCACAGACCAGGATGCGGGTCGAGCTGAGGATAGCCCTTGCCAGGCACAAAAGCTGTCGCTCTCCAATTGAGAAGTTGCCTCCATTCTCGGTCACGTACATGTCTAGCCCTGGCCCGCCTGGATCACCAACATGAAAGAGTATACCAGCAAGAAGGATAAGAAAGCACGACATTTTTTGAGACCTCGTATCGCTCAGTACCCATAGCCCTATCAAAGTACCCTTTCTTCCTGTATCAGCTTACATGAAATTACGGCGATAGATCCTGCGCGAATACCAGCCTTAGCAGGCGGCATAAATGACATTGCTGAACTCCTTCTCCGGAATAAAGGGGGCTTGGCCCTTGGACTAAGGATGTCGAGGTTAGACTCTACTTCCTCACATTCTCCACCCATTGCTCGGACCTGGAAGCCATGAAAAGATTCAGGAGAAAGCAAAAAAAGTCTTTTCTGACAAGCAGCATTCGAGCCACTGGACCCTATTACTTACCTGGTCCTCCATCTGAACCGCTCGCAAAGCTGACCAGATTGTGGCGTCATCATTCAACTGTGCAAGTAATGAAACATGGCCTCTTTGAGCGATAGTCGGGTGCCTTAACTAATGCAATTTTCTACTCACCCCTAATGGATCCAAGTTTTCTCGCAGTGTGCCACTGAGCAAAAAGGGATTCTGAGGGATAACAGAGAGGCGGCGTCGCAGATCGTGAAGGCCCATGCCGGAGACATCAATGCCATCAATGCACAAAGATCCGCCGGAGGGCTCCATCAGTCGAAAGAGGACCTAACGTGATGAGAAGCACATATAAAATATTGGCGGAGACGAAAGGGGAAGTCTTGTGTTTACATCTGATTCGTCCTCCGTAGCTTGCTCATTACCTGGATGAGCGATGATTTTCCGCATCCAGTCCGTCCCACGATGCCCACGCGAGTACCGCCAGGGATAGAGAACGACATGTCTTTGATCACAAGCGGTAAGCCCTGGAAACAGAGGCACAAGGGTGTAATAGAAAGAGGTAATACATATCCGATCGGTCAAGAAGAAGAAGAAGTTCCAAGAGCATTTAAAATGAAAGTTTTCTGTTGTCTTCTGTGGAAAACAAGCAGGATAGCTTTTCGCTGAACGTCATCCCATCTCCAAGACAGAAATGAAAATTTACCGGTCTGTATGCTGCTTGTAGGTTGGTGGCAACTATTGCACCTTTTTCAGGCCAAGCGGAGGGTGGAGCTTTTCCGGGAAGAGAATCAAGCGCGGCCTCCGTAGATAATTGACAATACTACGCAGGTAGGAAAGCGGTCAATGGGAGTTAGACGTCTCAACAAGCGCATACGAGAAAAGACCGCGTTTAAGATAGGAAAATTACCTCAACAATACGTTCCACGGAAACAATCTGATTTTCCACTTCTGAGCTCTGGCGTGTTGCCCACTGAAAGACCGATGCAAGCTGCAACACGTACATGAGGGATACTCCAATAAGCCTGAAAGAAATGGGGGGGGAAAATATAAATTAGGAGTAATACAACATTTGCACTTATCCACCATCCGGATACTGACCAGGTGGACACACCGCTTGCCCCGGTAAGCGCACCTAAAGAGGAAAACGCTGTCGCGGTCACCAGCAGCCAGCACAGAAAGTCCTGTGGAATATCTTTAAAGTTAATTCTATCATTCCCAATACGTCTCCCTCTATCTTGGACTTCACGTAAATCATGGCCTTTGCCTCTTTTTCTGAGTCTCTCTTCCGTTCCTGTCCTTTTTTCTTACCAGTCGAAATGCCAAATGCCGCCCTGCGGAGAAAAAAATGAAATACGGCCTTCCAAAATCGTCCAAACGCTTGGAAAATTCGTTCTGTAACATAAGTAGAAGGCATGAGCAATTCCGCTGACAATCGACTAGCATCGAAAGGCCAAGTGTACCTGGAAGAGGGAGCCAGCGACGAGAGATCGGATGGTGGGTAAGCCGTCCATAACTTCCGATAACAAGGCGTAGATGGGAGAGCGAGCCATGGCCTCCAAACGACGGGCCGCACTAAAGAAGAAAATAATGTTTGTCAGTCAGTCATATAATGAGTCGAGAGCATTCCTCTCCACATATTTTCCAGACACAGGAAAAACGAAGGGGGAGAGAACATGAGTACTTACCGCGACGTGTTCAGAAATTGTCGCCGGAGTGGAATAAACGAACCAAAAAGCGGGATCAGTATAATTATGAGCCTGGTGATGTTTGCAATTAAGTGGATCATGAGGGCGTGTCGACAAAATTTTGAGATCCCTTCAACTTCCGTCCTATATTGTCATCCTTGTTTCCCTCTTTAGCTTTGCTTTATGCGCTTGCTTACCATGGATTGACGGAGATTATAACTGCAATTGTTCCCAGGCACATCAGCATGGTTTTCATGAATGAGTACAGGCTAATGGGGAGGAAGACATCGCAAACGAGGACGTCCTAAAGGGTGAGGAGGACCAACTGGTTGGAAAACGGATCATTTAACGATCAACTAAAAAATGGTGAAGGCTTATTAAGCGTACCTTGCTAGTTCGGTTTATTATTCTGCCTGTGGGGTTGGTGTCGAAAAAGCTGCCGACGAAAAGAATACAAGCAATTAGATTTAGGTGATCCTAGTCCTACCCCCTATCTAATTCATTCTCTTCTCTTACCTAATCGGAGCCCGAAGCACTGAGTGAACCATGTCGTCGTGCAGGACGTGGCTGGCTTCTAGCATCCGGTCGAATGCTATCATACCCCGAGCAACAGGCAGGACTCCAACTGCAACAACTGTAATCAGCGAAAGAACAATAAACGAGTGCATGCAATAGCCAAGTGTAGAGGATTAAAAAAACGCACATTGTAGCACTGGGCGGAAATAGTCAAACACCACCAACTACTGTGAATAGCCACGTACAATCTGTATGCTGTTCGGACAATCCCATGTAAATTGAATGATCCATCAAAAACTTACCTAAGGCGACATAGATCAAGGCAAACTTCTTTTCCCTTTGTTTTTCATAGCTTTGGTGGACCCAGTACGATAGGAACATATTGGAGAGAATAGCCGCAACCTACGGTAAAAAACAGGACGTTGTTTGAGAATATGAGCCGTTCCTAAACCCGAAGAAAATCTTTCCTTTGAAACCAACCTGCCCAGCTATGAGGAGGAGGAGCACCGCTACAGTCACAATCGGACCCCCCATGCCTCGTACGTAGGCTGCAAGAACACCAGCTCCGAGATTTCCCGACTGTTGCTTCTCTTGAGAAATGATGGAAGCCTATAGTATGAATTCAAGAGAGTGAGAAAATGGAAAGATCCCCTTAACAGGTCCACAAAACATAAAAAATAGAATGAGCCCTATCTCATAATCTAACAGACCCGAAGTGCAGCTTCCTTCTTGACTTTCTCTTCATCAACACATGATATATTCGCTGCTATCTCTTGTTTTTTTGGATTCTCTTTGTCTACTTGAAGTAATCTTGCTCCACCGTTGCCTTCCAATTCGGTTATTTCCACCCCGTGAGCATAGGTGGTCGCTGAGCCGTGCACCTTGGCGTCAACAGGAATCTCCTTCTCGTCTGTTCCATCTTCTTCCTGTGTAACATAAAGCATGAAGGTCGACGTTAATAATTGTAGTGATCTGTATCTTGTTTATGCAATACTAAATCTCTATGTCTCCCCGTACCTCGCTCGATTCTCTTTCTCGCGAGATGCTAAGCTCTTGCTGGAGGCGTGCCACTTGCGCCCTCTCCAATACACTCAGCATCGTGGACTGAGATTTCCCGGACAGCAGCTGTGGGCGAGGATTATTGAATTCATCCTCCTCCGCATCCTCGACGTCAAAGTCCTCTTCCGTCCTATGAGTACAAACCCCCCAAAAATAACGAATGAAAGGCGTGAGATGTCTATTCTTGATTATGATGTCATTAAAGTTGCTTATTTCAATACATATCAGTAACCATTTTTCATTCTCCTCTATTTTCTCACAATATTCTTTGCATTCCTGCAGGCTGGAACAAATCCATGTCAGGAATCGATACATTCAAGTATGAAGACGCTTCGCGTGCGAGAGAGAGGTTGCTAGGTGACCTCCCCAAGACAGGTAGTTGTGTCGAGGATTTCGCCCGTAGAACTGATAGACTTTTGCTTGGGCCATGCAAACGAGGCGGGTTCTCCGATATTGAATGAGGAGAAGGACGGATCCTTTTAAGACTTTCGGAGAAGCGCTTGACCAGTGTGGGAATCTTCGGAGGAAGCATTTCAACATCTGTGCGAAAGCAGTCAAAAGTTAAGTCTCGCATGGGTCAAAGCACATTTGCTGTTGCAATACCTTGTCTGCGTACCGATTAAGTTTAAATTCAATGTATGCCCATATAAGTCTCTACGATTTTCCCATTGTTACCTTCTTCTTCCGTGTCAAGGGACTCCGTGTCGCTATTGTCTCCACTTTCCTGGATATTGCTCATCGTCCGCGTAGGCAAGAAGGGAGGGAGCTTGTGAAGGTGACTTGCTTGTTTCTTCAGCGCTAAAGTGGGCGACAACTAGGCAGAATATGAGAAAGGGAAGAGCAATTCGGCGAATAAACTACGCTAGAGGCTACCAATGTCCATCTAGAGGAGAAAATATTTTAACATTTATACATACGTGTCTCATTGTCTTACCGTCGCTTCTATATCTGATGCCTCTGGTTGGGCTTCAGTAGCCATCTCCGTCAATTTTACAGTGCTCTCTGTGGCGTTCATCTCCACCATGGCGTCAGGGAAAAAACCTCTGACCTAGAGAGACGAAAGATTTGATCAAACTCCTTCCGCGACAAAAAGCAAAAGGTGATTCCAAGCTTACCAAGAGCTCCTGCATGGTGCCTTGTCCACGAACTTTCCCTCGGTTGATGAACAGAACCT